CCAGCCCTGGAGCTTCCCCTTGGTGGAAAGGGCTCCACACCATGGATGCAGTTCTAGAAGAAGGTAGCCTAAGAAAAAGGTTACTTTTGTCTCAAACCAGGATGGGCTTGGACAGGGCTGTTGCACTCTCAAGGCATGGCCTTAGTCAGGTCCAAAGAAAACTCAGGGCAAATAGCTGGCTGTGGTGCTTGGTAGCACACTGGTCTACAGGCTCACCCAGTGCCTGTGGTGGCTCCTCTCAGCTCTTCTCACCTGCCCACCCCCTACTCTAAAGCTCTCCAGCCCACGGGCTTCCCTTCCCCCAGCTTCTGATTCCTGTATGACCCTGCCATTTCAGCCATGCTCTTGGTCTGCCTGTCCTCTCTCCTCTTCTACCCCCTTCTCTTCCGGTCTTGCTCCTGCCCTCCTTTCCTGTCATAGCCATGTTCCATCTACTGGTCATGTTTAGTCTACTGATCTCTCTTCTTGCTCTGAGCTCTTCCAGATGCCTCGTATCTACAATAAAATTCTTCTCCTCACCCATATATTGACCCAGCCATGTTCTCATTTCATTCAGCCTCTATCTCATCAGAAAGAGTAAATCATGACAAGCAAGCCCTGGCTGCAATCTGTCTTAGGCTGCCCTGCTGTGGGATGTCCTTCTGTATGCTGTGAACGTGTGTTGCACTCCTTGGTTGATAATGAAGCTGTTTGGCCAATGGCAAGGCAAGATAAGGTTAAGCAGTACAATCAAACTGAGAACAGAGATGAAGAAGGGTGGCACTGGGGCAGATGCCAGCCAGCCTGGGAGGAAGCAAGACATGTAGAAAATTAGGTAACAAGCCACGAACCATGTGGCAAAGCATAGATGAGAAATATGGGTTAATTTAAGTGTAAGAACTAGTTAGTAATAAGCCTGAGCTACTTGCCAATCATTTATAATTAATATAAACCTTTGTGTGATTCTTTGGAAGTGGCTGTGGAATGGGGTGGGACAGAGAAACTCCATTTATACTGCCCTGACACTGATAAGAACTGGACCCCCAGCGAGGTGTGCCATCTTTTACAGAGACTCAGCCTCATGAAAATAACATACTGTGAAAATCGTTCCTCTGCCAGAGTGAGATGTCTGCCTAGCCACCCAGTTATGAGCTCCACACAGGAGCCACACCTGAGAAGACCTAACTACTTACCTTTTAGCACTCTCCTCCCCCCCTGCCATGTGATCTTTCCAGGAGAATGCCTGCCAAAACATTTGCACTGCGTTTCAATAAATCCTCTTTTGGTATGTTGGTTTTCAACTCTCCTAAATTCTCTTACACATCCAGCAGGATGGCCACACCCAGGTGTGCTGGTTAGATTTTGTCACCATGACACAAACTAGAGTCACCTGGAAGAAGAGGGGATGTCAGTTGAGGACTAGCTTCATATTGGCATGTTTGCTGAGGACATTGTCTTGGTTAATGACTAACGATTAATGTGGGAGGGTCCAGCCCATTGTGGGCTGTGTCACCCTGGGCAGGTGGTCCTGAGCAAGCTACGGAGAGCAGGCCAGTAAGCAGCGATCCTCATGGTTTCTTCTTCAAGTTCCTGCCTTGAGTTCCTGCTTTGGCTTCACTCAATGGCAGACTATAAACAAACTCTTTTCTTCCCCCAAGTTACTTTTGGTCAGTGTTTCATCACAGCAACAGAGAATCGGGTAGCACACAGGGCCTCCTGTCTTCACCCCTTACACCCTTTGTCCCAACACATGCATTTGCCTTTCAGATGCTTGGAGGTGACCAAGAGCAGTTGAACCAGCAAAGGAGAAGCAAATCAAGATTCCCAGGCTAGGTCCTGGGAAGCCACCAGCCACATTCTGGTCACCAAGCCTTTGTCAGCGGCAAAAAGGAAGCAGCCTTTGAATTTGCTTCAGCTGTTTGGACTGTGGGATGAAGCAGTCTAGAGAAGGGAAAACAGGCGAACAGTGATGAGAAGTTAGCTTTTGGGTGTGGTGACCCATGCCTGTAATCCCTGCATTGGGGCAGGTGACGCAGGAGGATTGCTGTGAGTTTAAAGCATGGCTATATAGTGAGTTCCAGGCCAGTCTGAACTACACAATGAACCCCAGTTTTGAAAAACAGAAACAGAAAGAAGAGAAACAATAAAGAGAGAGGGAGAGCACACTACCCTGGAACTGAGTGAAAGGTTTTCGTACCTGATATTGGGGTTCTCTGCTAACACAGTAAATTGGATCAGGCCAAATCAAACAGAATTAAAGTCCAGACTTTAATCTAAGCAAAGCATTCCTGAGTGGTCCAGGGGAAGAGGAGAAATCATGAGAGGAGACCACAAGGCAAGTCTATGGGCCCGGTCTTAAATACCCTGGAGGAATGGTCTTTGAGACACTGCAGGGGATGAACCACTGCTTGGTGGGATTTCTCAGGGGCAGGGTCTGGAGAGGGGGGGTGAGGGGGGGCTTCCACCTAAACACTGAGCACAATGTAAATAGTAATATTTGCCAATAAAAAGTCAGAGAGTCACTACATTCAGAGTTTTGATGCTTCCTTGGCGTTTTCTAAAATTACCACACACACACACACACACACACACACACACACACACACACACACACACACAGTTGTCAATGGTGAGAAGACAGAGGCACAGTTCCACACTGCTGCCCTCACTAACTTTTAGGGACCTTGACTCAGATAGAACTGGGTGTGGTAGTTTGAATTTAACGTCCCCTTAGTCCCGGACATTTGAATCTTTGGTCCCCTGTTGGTGATGCTGCTTGGGAAGCTTAGAGGGTGTGGCCTTGATGGAGGAAGTGTGTCACCGGAGATGGGCCTGGAGAAGTTAGAAGATGCCATTTCTAGCTTGCGTTCAGCTTTGTGCTAGTGGTTCAAGATGTGGGCTCTTTGCTTGCTCTTCCAGCTGCGCCTGCTGCTTCCTCGTTGTGATGGACTCCTTATCCCCCTGGAACCATAGTCCAAATAAACCCTGCCTTCTATAAATTGCCTTGGTTATGATATTTTACTACAACAATAGAAAAATAACTAAGTCACTGAGGTTCATGGCATTGAGACTGAAAAGGATTTCACAATGAGCTGATTTAGAATAAAAGAGTTAAACTTTTTAGATTTACGTTTATCATTTTTGATTTGTGTGAGCCCACATTGTAAAATTTCTGAGGCAGCATAAAGAGACAGAGAACAGAGACTAGGGTCTGACCTTCAGCAAACAAGTCGGTGTTTGTTAGCACGCACAGTGAGGGGCAGCCTCTCTCGGGAGGAAACAGAGGGGTCTGCCAGGGGGAGAAACGTGGCTCCAATCCTTTATAGGGGTAGGATGAGGGGTTTGCAAATGAGGAAATTGTTGCAGCCATAGGGGACTATGTGCAATTTCATACTCTCTCTTTGCTCAAATTGTATGCTTCAAGCAAGACAGATTATTTTGGGAGACAAGCTATCTGCAAATTTTCCTTCTGGGATGACCAATAATGACTGATCAAGGTCATGTGTAGTCCCACAGGAATCTTGTTTAGGTGCTGAGGCACTCTACCACACAGGAGTGTGGGTGCCCACAGAGGTGGGAGGTGTCGATCTATTCAGCCAATGGTATTGGGGTGACTAGACCTATGGCATAGTCCTGTCTGGGTACGTGACCAGATAAGAACTGAGGAGGACGGTCAAGCTATCTCTCCGGGATGTGGGAGGCTTCCTGACACCACAGTTCAGTCCCCATCCTTCCCTGGTGGACAGAGGTATACGAGAGCACTTACAAGGAAATGAAACGCCACATAGAACCTCTACACACTGAACTGGTCAGCGGATGAGGATGTGACAAGCCTTACCGTGTATCCCGGTTTCTTTCGTTTTACAAAATGAACAAACCAGATGGCTCTATTTCCCAGTCAAAACTTTAAAAATGCCCATTCCTGGATTTAAAAAAAATTATGACAATTGGGCTGGACAGGTAACACAGCTGTGAAAAGCACTTGCTGCTCTTGTAGAGGATCTGAGTTTGGTCTCTAGTACTTTCATGGCAGCCCCCAATAGCCAGTGGCTCCAGGAAGGGATCGAAGCCCACACCTGGCCTCTAGCTACTCAATGTTTGACATATGTGACATAGCACACGTGCAAATACTTTGATAGGCTGTGCCCTCCTGCCGTTAAAACAGAGGGCTAATTCACAGCATTCCAAATGCCTCACTTCTTCGACCAACATTCTAGCTCACTTTGTGATGACATCTTTTTCTCCGTAATGGAAGTTTTCTAAAACGCTTTCGTAAAGTTGTAGAACCTGGTCATTCTCAACTACTTTTAGGTAGGAGGGAGCTGAGTTAGTGGCCTGCTTCTAATTCAGTGGCAGTTTTACTCCATAACTCGCTGCAGTATTAGCTTCATATCCACAGGTCATGTAACTTTCCCAAGGAAGGTCCTACACACTGTCATGAATTAATAAAACGTAACCGCTGGTTCAAATTACATGTCGAGTTGTTTTCCATAATGTAAAAATATGAAATTTTGACTGCCCAGAATTATACTTATTCAAGAAAACTATCACTCGTGTACAGCTTTTTCTGAAAATGAAGGTGGCTCTGAAAAGAGCCGTTTGTTTCAAACTATTTCTTGTTCTGGGAGTCACTTGCTCTGGGCCTTGTGGTGGCTCTCGGTCTTCTTGGGCAGCAGCACCGCCTGGATGTTGGGCAGGACGCCGCCCTGCGCGATGGTGACGCGGCCCAGCAGCTTGTTGAGCTCCTCGTCGTTGCGGATGGCCAGCTGCAGGTGGCGCGGGATGATGCGCGTCTTCTTGTTGTCGCGGGCCGCGTTGCCAGCCAGCTCCAGGATCTCGGCCGTCAGGTACTCCAGCACGGCCGCCAGGTACACTGGTGTGCCAGCCCCGATGCGCTCCGCATAGTTCCCTTGGCGAAGGAGCCTATGGACACGACCCACGGGGAACTGCAGGCCGGCCCGGAAAGAACGGGACTTCGCCTTGGCGCGAGCCTTCCCGCCCTGCTTTGCACGTCCAGACATTGTCTTCCAAAAGCCTTAAGACGAGCGTAAGCAAAAGAGAGCTTCCAGGCCTATTTATACTCTGATGGAAGGTCATAATTGCCACCTGATTGGCTGGTTGATAATGGGCTAGCCAATCAGGAAGCACTACTTGAATTCCCCTTATTTGCATGCGCAGAGCCCTTATTACCCAATCAGATAACGTATGCTCATACGTCATTTGAGGTCCACACCTATAAATACCACTCTTCTCAGTTTAAAAATAGACCGTGTGCTTAGTTGCAGTTGGAACTCCTTTGGGCCGTTGGGGGTGTGAAAGGTTACTTTCACGATGCCGGAGGTGGCAGCAAAGGGCACTACCATTTCCAAGAAAGGCTTCAAGAAAGCGGTCACGAAGACTCAGAAGAAGGAGGGTCGGAAACGGAAGAGATGCCGCAAGGAGAGCTACTCCATCTACATCTATAAAGTGCTGAAGCAGGTGCACCCGGACACGGGCATCTCCTCCAAGGCCATGAGCATCATGAATTCCTTTGTGACAGACATCTTCGAGCGCATCGCGGGCGAGGCGTCGCGCCTGGCGCACTACAACAAGCGCTCGACCATCACGTCCCGGGAGATCCAGACGGCCGTGCGCCTGCTGCTGCCCGGGGAGCTGGCCAAGCACGCCGTGTCCGAGGGCACCAAGGCCGTCACCAAGTACACCAGCTCCAAGTGAGCGGCGGAGCTCACCGCAACCCAAAGGCTCTTTTCAGAGCCACCCACCTCTTTGGGCAAGAGAGCTGTGCTTAGTTGCTGGTCCTAGTGCTGCACTGGGCATATGGACGCTTGACTAAGTAGAGCCTGGCCCAGGCTGCAGTTAAGGGACTTGGACTTGACGTCGGAACAGTTTCTCAAGTGTGGTTTGGTTTTCCGGGAGGACCACGTAATCCCAAAGCCGTTCGAAGCCCGAGGGCTTTCTGGCCTACTGTCTTCCGTCTAGTGAGGGTTCTAGGATTTAGTTTTGCAGGGAAAACCCATGGTAGGTAGGGGCTGTCTTGCAGACACAAGTGCTTCCTAGTGGAATGTGTTACACGGAGTCAACTGACCAACAGCAATAACGGAGTTCCGTGCTCCTGCCAATATGGCCGCCTCGGCCTATGCCTTGGTTGGCCGGTACCATCTCTAGGCAGAGTCTAGCTGCCCCGGTTTTCAGATCCTGGCCAATTTTGTGACCACTGTTAACACACACTCCCAATTACCCAGCGATAGTGAGGACTGTTCAGAGAAAAAGCCAGAAAAGGCTCCTGTCTTCAAACCAAACCTGACATAGTTTTTACGTCATGTATAGTCTGGCAGCAGTAATAGAAAATGTTAGCTGACTAGGCTGGGGTAATGCTGAACGGGACCAGCAAGGGCAGAAAGGTTCAACTGGGAAGAGTCCTGCTCCGCTGCCCAGATCCCATCTTTACTGTAGTAGTCTGTACATTACAGTCTTACACTTATAGTTTCCGCTAATATATCTGAAAGTAGTGATTGTCTTACTGCCTTCCATGGCTTCCCCAAACAGTCCTCCGTTGGGCACTTCGTTACTGCTCTATTGTTTTGAAGAGACATACGACCAAGACAACTCTATAACAGGAAGGAAGCATGAACTGGTAGCTTACTTAGTTTTAGAGGGTTAGTCCAAGATCATCATGGCAGGAAGCAGACAGACATTGTGCTGGAGCAGTAGTAGCTGAGATCTTTACATCCTGATCTGGAGACAGGAGGGAGGGAGAGAGAGACAGAGAGAGAGACAGAGAGAGAGACAGAGAGAGAGAGAGAGAGAGAGAGAGAGAGAGAGAGAGAGAGAGAGAGAGAGAGAGCGCCTGGGCTATACTTTTGAAGCCTCAAAATCTATCCTGAGTAAGGCCACACCTCCTCCAACTTCTCAAACAGTTCCACTCCCTGGTGACTAAACATTTAAATATATGAGCCTATGAGGCCATTCTCATTTAAACCACCACAGGGACCAAGTGTTCAAACACATGAGCAAATGGAAGACATCTCACACTCAAACCATTACAAGGGTCCACTCCGCAATGCAGATGACCTCATTTCAACATTCTTTAAAACTACATCCTCAAACATCGTCTCTAAGCATGGCCATACTTAAAGGGTAAGGCATAAGCATTCTGTCTGCAAACAGTTGAATCCATGGCACTTCACATCTTAAACCTGACCCTTAGCCTTTAGCCTCACATACAAAATGTCAGAGCACATGAATCAGGAGTATTTTACATAAATTACAGATAGTGTGTGGCCTTCTTTGGTCTTATAAATTAACCTGCCCCAAAATTTCGATGCCATTTCCTTCATTCAAAAATGATTGAGACAACTTTCTCCTTTGTGTTTACTTCACTCCAGAAACCCTGTGTTACTGGGGACTTCCTTTATCACGTGCAATCACTCACACATGCACACTTACACACCCTGTTCACTCAGTGAGCAAATGTTATGAGACTAGGGAAAGGAACACAGCTTTTATAAAGAACTTTTTGGAAAGGAAAATAAGGAGAACAACTAAGTGGAGGTGTGTCTGACCCAATCCCACAGTACGGGCCAATGATACCAGTGTGCAATGTCCATGCAATGTAGACATGTAAGATGGATGGCCCCTCTGGTCCTGTTCCTTCAGGGAGAGCAGGTTTCTATTGCTGTGAGAAAAATCTTACCAACAACAACTTGAGAAAAGTGCTTATTTCATCTTATAGTGATAATTCATCATGAGAATTCAGGGCAGGAATTCAAGGCCGGAACCTGCAGGCAGGAACTGAAGCCGAGATCATGGAGGAATGCTGGGAAATGGCATGCTCAGCTTTTTCTTATACAACCCAGAACCACCAGCCCAGAGTGGCACAGTACTCTGGGCCCTCCCACATCAATCCCACACTAATCAAGAACACACCCCACAGACTTGCCTACACAAACCAATCTGATGGAGGCATTCTCAAAGATAGGTCCTCTTACCAAATAACTCTGTCAAGATGACAAAACCAACCAGGACAAATGGTGTGTCTCCACAGTACTGCTCAGTGATTGGAAAGGAAAAAGGAACAATTGCTGCAACTAACAAGATGGTGAATTTCAAGCTATGCTTCCAAGTGAAAGAACAAGCCTGAAAAATCTGCCAGTGTTTCAGAGGCAGACACAACAGATATTTGCTGCCTCCAAGTGTTTCATTGTGGCAGCTGGGATCCCTGATTACAGACAACACATGCTTCTATATACATGGATCTTCAGATGCCATCTGTTATCTCTTTGGTCTCACAGCTAAGCACTCAGGAGCTCCAACACTTCACTGTGCACAAAAGTACAAGGGTTTTCCCCCTGAATTAAAAAAATGCATTAAAAAATTATGTGTGTATGTATAGTTATGTGGATATGTGCATGTGTGTATGTACAGTATGTGCATGGGTATGTATGTACAATATGTGTGTATGCAAGTGTGTGTGTGGTGGTATTGTGTTCCCCAAAATATTGTTTACCCTAATAAACTTATCTGGGGTCAGAGAACAGAAAAGCCACTAGATAGTTAAGATAGGCAGTGGGAGCACATGCCTTTAATCCTAGCATTCCAGAGGCAGAAATCCATGTGTTCAAGGATACAGCCAAGCATGGTAACTCACGCCTTTAATCCCAGAAAAGGAGCCTTTAATCCCGGGGAGTGATGGTAGAAAGCAGAAAGGTATATAAGGCGTGAGGACCAGAAACTAGCAGCATTTGGATGGTTAAGCTTTCACGCTTTCGAGCAGCCCAGTTCAGCTGAGACCCATTCTGGATGAGGATTCAGAGGCTTCCAGTCTGAGGAAACAGGATCAACTGAGAAGTTGGCCAGGTGAGGTAGCTGTGGCTTGTTCTGTCTCTCTGATCTTCCAGTGTTCACCCCAATACTTGGCCTCAGGTTTGATTTTATTAATAAGACCTTTAAGATTCATGCAACATGTGTGTGTGTATAGTTATGTGGATATGTGCATGTGTGTACGTACAGTATATGTATATGTGCATGTGTATGTATGACGTGTATGCATGTACAACATGTGTGTATGTGCATGTGTGCGTATGTACAGTATGTGGGTATGTGCATGTGTGTGTATATACAGTATGTGGGTATGTGCATGTGTGTGTATGTACCATATGTAGGTATGTGCATGGGTGTGTATATGTATGTGAAGAAAGTTCAGGTGATGAAGAGTGACTCACTCAGAATCCTCTAACTGAAATATGAGATAAACTATATCCTCTCCCATTAGTACTGAAGAACACAAAGTATCCTGTCATAAATGTGAGCCAAGCACAAGTTATGAAGGAGTGCAAACTCAATTGGTGGACAAACTGTTGGTTTCCAACACAAATGATTTGAAGCAAGATCTTTACATTCCACTTCAATCTGCTTTGTTAGGAGACCCAAATAAATGCACAGCGTCTCCTCAGTATCCTGGTGCTGCAGCCTTGGCTCAGTAGCTTCAAGGGTGCTGAAATACAGGGTCTAAGTTCCCCTATATGTTGCCAAGAGAGAAAAAAAATCTTCCTCTCTGGTCCCATGGCAGGCTTCACCCCAAACCTGCAGCTCTGGGACCTTCTGCCCTTTGTCTCTGGTGATGCTAATTACTGAGAGAGGCCTGGAAAATGTCAAGCCCCACCCCTCACATGGACAATCTAACCTGACTTACCTGGGATCTGATTTTTCCCTAAAATATATGACAAAGTTCAGCTGGATATTTAGAGATACAGTCGGATCGATTAGGAAGCAATTTTGCCTGGTGGGCTTGTCAGATTAAGCATCACTGCTACCATCCATTTTGTTATCCAATCCATGAAGTCCAGACATAACCATCAAAGTTAAAAGTATGCTGATATGGGTGGGATGTCTTTCTGTATGCTATAAATATGTGTTGCCCCCATTGGCTAATAAATAAAGCTGCTTTGGCCTATGGCAAGGCAGGATCAGAGCCAGGCAGGAAATTCAAGCAGAGATACAGGGAGAAGAAGAGCAGAGTCAGGGCAGGTGCCATCCAGCCAACCAAGAAGCAAGATACCC